CAGCGTTGCCAAGACCTACACCCTGTCCCAGCTAATATGGGGCATTTGGCAACTTAACCTAACCTAAGCTAAACCTAACCCTGTCCCAGCTAATATGGGGCATTTGGCAACTTAACCTAACCTAAACTAAACCTAACCCTATCCCAGCTAATATGGGGCATTTGGCAACTTCAGGGCAGTACCAGTCCTAGTTGCTGTGGCACCCTGGGTGAGCATCACTGCCAGGGCCCCTTGTCTGTGACATAGTGATAATGGCTGGTAGGTTGGTGCCGTCTCAGAAGTTGGAGCCCTAGGCGGCCGCCTATGTCACCTATAGGAGTGACCAGCTCTGCTTCAAGGTTTATAAACATTGTTGATTTTCCATTCCAACCTCTGTTATCCGATTAAGGTTCGGCTGCTGCTTCTGGGAAACTGAAGGTGCCAAGCAGAATGTGTCTCAGTGGGAAGCCAGTGTGTTGATTGTCTGTCACACACTCACATGGTATTTAGGTCAGTGTTTTTCAACCCAGTCTTCGGGGACCCCCATACAGTCCACATTTTTGCTCCCTCCCAGCTCCCAGCCAATCAGGAACCCTGAATACCTGGAGCAGGTGTGCTGGGAGCTGGGAGGGAACAAAAACATAGACTGTCTGGGGATCCCTGAGGTCTGGGTTGAGAAACACAGATTTAGATCACTGGAAGTTGCCAGGTTTGTCTGGAGGAAGCTGACGAGCACAAAACCTGCATACAACTCAAAGATTTGAATGTACAAAACTGGAGTCCATCACAGTTTTTTCAACTTAATTAAATATGTGGAATTGATTACAGACAGACCTAATGCATATGGGTGGTATGGAGGTTTAAACTTCTGCAAAAGACATAAAATGCATGTATCTGTGTGGCCTTTCTATATCCAACCCCTTTTGTTTTTGCAGTCGTAAGGCCTTTGAGCTCAATGTACACAGACTATGTACATCATTAATTTCCCACTCAGTCAGAGGCATTTACAGCAATCGTGGGTCATTCTGATTGATTGATGTTCCTCCCCACATCAGAGGGATCTCAAAGCCCGTCTCCCTGGTGCCCCATCGTTTCCACCTCAGGCAAGCGCATCATCTCGCTCATTTCCCCTGGCTGCTTGCAGCCCCGGCCCGCTATCTTGGCCCTCGGACCATTGGATGCGGCCTGAGAAACCGCTGACAGGCCAGGGAGAGCGAACAAGGCAGTTATAATAGTGGCACTATCAAAGGATGGAGAGAAGAATCCTGGCTGGTACTGGAGGATGGGGGGCATCCAAGAGGGTGGGGATGATATGGGGATAGGGGTGGAAAAGGACCGGCCAGCTGTGGCAGGGAGGTGAGACAAAAAAACCATTGTTGGAGGTCCTGGCAGAATGCTGCTGTCAATACCAGGCACCGTGTTACTGCCCAGAGGATGAGTCTAGATGAACCCTAGAGCCTCCTACCATAGCTGCTGTGGCAACAGACCCCACTGGGCCTTTCTGTGGCAGTCCGGGGGGGGGATTACTCTTGTCAGTGGCAGGTAATTGGATCTTGCATCTCCTGCTGGAACACTGAGACATGTCTAGTAATGGTTGGTTTTTGAGCAAAATGTGGTCCAATACTGACTCATCTCATCCAGGGATGGAGAACTTTCCCCAGGGCTTTAGACGTTTAGGGCAGGGTAGATGGATCTAGTCTCTGTCACTGCGTGGGTGGTGGGGGGGATGGCGGGGGGGCTGAATTTCATGTACTTTGGGGGCAAAGCTGAAGAGTCTAGTATAACCATGAATCCTATGTGCAAATTCAAGACAAACCTTTTCTTGATGCAAAACAGGTATTCTTGTTAAAATAATCAACTTTTTAATTTGCCTGAAGGACGATTTCCATGATTAGAGAGGAAATATAAGAAACCAATGAACAGCATGATAAAAATCTTAACTACAGAAAAAAACCACAAAACTGATACTTTCTGCTGCAAAACCACAGCAGAAACTAATGATTTGAAATATAAAAGCTAACATTATTTCCAATACCACAACTTCCCACTAACGGCTGTGGCTTTACACTTTATTTGCAGTTTCCAATTTGCAACAGTTTAGAATAATCCGAGCTCTTTGTAAGTACACAGAAGAATGAAATTTTAAGCAGCTGTTATCTTAAAAGCTGATGTGGTCTTTCCTAAGGTTCACCTAACTGGGACTCGGTTACTGCAGAATATTTGGAATTTTGGATGTAACCCAGAGCACAGAGCTCAACCTTTTTCCAAAGAAAATACGGCTTCATTCTTACTCATCTTTATACCCACAGAGGGGTAACACTGCATTGTCCATTATCCCATGGGCGGATGCATTTTTTTTTGCGAGACAGCTGTGACTGATTCGTCCCCCGAAGGCCAGGGATCATCCGCGAGGCACCTCCTTCCCCATGTAATGGTTCGAGTCCCTGTCCACAGCAAATTAATCACATATCCATTGGCCCCTTAAGCTCATAACCTCCCTCCTCAAAATGCTCCAGGGATTTTGGGTAAATTTGATATTTGAAAATAAGCATTTCAGTGCACCTGTACAAATGGCAAATAAAGGATAATTTCATTTCATTCCTATAAGCGGAGGCGCAACATTCGACTTGAGTACCGCATGACATCATGCAGCTGGAAGAGCCGCGACTATGACCGGAACCACCTGTGGGCGTTTTTCCTCACCCATCAGGATGTTGCCCCCCCCCTCGGTTCCCCCCAGAGAGCCTGGTAAACTGGTGTGGCAGTAAACCCCCTCCATGAGCTGTGCCATGGGAACCGTCACGGGCCGTGGAGCCGGGATTCCCAGCGAGACTGAGAAAAACACGGGAACGCGAACGGCATAGCTGTGAGTTACACGCTCCTGGCAACTCGCAAAAACCTGGGACACCTGACAACCTTCGTTTCCTCTCCCCCATGTCTATGACTTCACCTAAAACATGTTTCATTGTAGGACAGGGAGGCTTCACCGTTCCCATCCCGTTCCGGAATGACGTATGGGGGCAGTCAGGGGATTCCCGGTCTCCCTCAGCCAACATCCCAAGTGATAGGTAAAGGGAATCTGTGATACTTAGGGGGGGGTTCACTGGTGATGGCTAACAGAACTCAAGGGCTGGGGGGGAGGGCAGAATCGGGGGGGGGGGCATGCTCTGTGATGCGATGACACTAGGCCCGGGGGGGTGCTGAAGGGAGCACCGTGAAGCAGGCTTCCTGTGGCTTTGGGCCCCTGCCACAGCAGTCCTGGGCTCTGGCAGACCTGCAGCCATGGAGTTCATTACTCAACAGGCATGACATCTTCAAGGAAGCAGTGAAAGAATGAAGTCATGTGGCTCGACAGCAGATCTGAAAAACACAGCTCGCTCCCCGGGAAACCCCTTCCTCTACTTCTCATGTAGGCTTTTGTTTTTACCTCTATAGAGCTAAATATGAAAACCAGCACAGCTTAGATTGCGCATCGCCAGCTATGATGAGGACATATTAAACAGGCTGCAAAATTATTTTTTCTCAAGATATTTTATCAGTCATACATGACATTTGCAACTGACCAAAATGCAATCTGCAAGAATGGGACACACTTCAGGTTGGCGCCTTTTTTGGTCTTTCACAAGAAACTGATGCTGTCACTCCATTGTTTTGTAGATTTGTAAATGATGATAAATCTATATTGTGACAAATGATTCTGCCACTCACTTATCTGCTCACTTTCCAAACCTCTCATCCAGGTGAGTTATTTTGACACTTATTTGGAAGTTCGGTGATACACCAAACTGTATCCTTCCCTTGTTTCCCGTCAGAATTTTCCCCCGTGAATGAAAGAGAAGGGACGAGCACAACATTAAAAAGGAAGATAGGGCAGAATGCTTAAAATGCATCGCCTGGATCTTAATAACCCCCCTCAGTTTCCCCCACAGCTCCAGTGTTTACTTGTGTTTTGTTCTTGTGAGTTATTAGAGGGGTCTGCAGAAACCACATTTCCATGAGCATATACTTAATCGGGCTCAGAATCAGGCTAATGAAATCCCGATGCGTGTAAGTGCTTTCATCGCACAAAAAGCCCTGTGTGGAAAACAGATCACCCAGCATGCCAAAGCCGGGGGGGAGGGGGGGTCGAAGGGGGGCTCCTGAGGTCACACATAGGGTGTAAAAGGGAGGCTGCTCCGTTGCAGCTCAGCAGTGATTTTATGTACGTGGGGGTTCCTCTGTCAGTGCCAGTGCAAAGTCATCACTTCGCATAACTTCCTCACAGATGGTGGCTTGCAGCAGGTAGCCACAGAGTCTCAGCTCAAGAGTCTCTGGTGCAAAATGCAGGAGGAATCGTGTAAACGCACGAGCAGGGGAATCCCCTGGTAGCATGACCATCTGTGAAAATTGGATAAGCTTTGGATAAAGGAATGAGCTAAGGAATTAAACTTGACTATGAATTTCAGTGAAGGAGTAGTTTGTAGTGTGAGCGTGTCCTGTGATGGGTTGACGCCCCAACCTGGGCTGTTCCCTGCCTCGCATCCATAACCTCCAAGATAGGCTCCGCACCCCCCATGACCCTGAATAGGACAAGCGGTTTCAGAAAATGGATGGATGGATGAAGTCCATTAGTATCCACAACGGTTTTTATTGTGATGCTTCTAAATCTCCTAAATTTTAAATGCATGAAGAGGCTTCGAGAGATGTATGTTTTTTTGTCAGGTACTTATTCGTCAAAATATTTGGGTCCCGGCTGAAATAGAGCGACCAGGAAAAGAAAGATTGACTTGCGTTATCATGAAAGTGCTGCATTCGTGGTTTCTAATGGGTCCTTTTTTTTTTTCTGTGTCGTATAACCCTTAACATTTTGAAACCTGTAGCACTGACTTAGCGGTTAACCACATGACTGAGCTCATGACCCGTGCAGCTTATTCAGTTTGCGTCCTTCTTGTCTGATTGGCTGATAAATTGATTAATGGAGGCACAGACAGCGACACCGATAAGCCTGACAAATATTAGGACAAAAACACAGAGAGCCTTAATAGCATTAAAGCCTTATATAGGCCAACAAAACAGAACATAATAATGTTTCCATACAGACCACTTGACATGAGAAAATAATCTCTCTCTCAATGGACATTAAAATAACAACAGAACTTAATTTGAAAGATAATATTCAGAAGTGGCTGCCGAAAGCTGATTCTAACTAGCTTTATTTTAATTTTCTCACTTGGGGTTCCGCATAATAATTAACTAAAATTTATGTTCATGCAGCAATTTAGATTCCCATTGTCAAAATCAAAGATCCTTCTGTTGCATAGAAGTTTCCAGTGATTGTTTCTTAAATATTTGGTTTCCATGTTTGTGGCGAGCCTCTTGTTAAACTATTTCCATGGACCACTTGCTTATTGCAAATTCAACACATACACTGTTAAATCTGGTCCAGTCAAATGCAATTTCCGAATATTAGACAAGGGAAGAGGCAGAAATATAACAGACAGAAACAATTTCTAAAAAATATGTTTGTCAGTGTGGTGTCTTTGTTCTGATGAGTTCAGAAACAGATGTTCCATCAATACTTTGTATGTTGTAATAAGTGAACAGTGGGCATGGCAGCAAAAAACACATAACATTTTTAAAAACAAAACTTAAGCAAACTAAATAAATATTTTAATAATCCATTATGTTTTTAAAGCTCAAAAATAGCTATGATTCGTAATTGTTTGATCCTACAACTGTCCCTTCCACCTAACCTTCCATAACTGATGAATATACAGTATGGTCATACAGTACATATACCCACAATGCATCATGGTTAAAGCATATGCCTTAGCTTGTCAGAGTTATGTAATGCAGGGGCTAAACTTTAAGCCAACCCTGTGAGGAATAGTTAATGTTCTTGGACACTGGATCCACTAGCCTCCTTGTCAACACAATCACTCAACCAGCATGTCACTGAAGAAAGTGGGGCAGCGATTCTTTTCTGCGACAGGGCAGGCAGTTCAACTGTACAGTCAAATTAAGGTATTCTGCAAGATCAAAATGGCTAAGGGAACCCACAGATTTGGTTTGGCGTCTCGTTCCTCCTGTCCAGTAAAATCATGACCAGCACGTACACAATACTCCCCGTGACTTGTCTGGCTAATGCTGAGTTAGCACAGAAGTCCAAGAAAAACACACAACTGAAGGCCGCAGCTTCAGATTCCGGCTCCGAGCGTGACCTTGTCAGCCCTTGGGCACTCGCTAAGGAACTTGCCATTATGATTCTTGGTCCACCCAGTAAGATGTAAGGTGAACTCCCGTTGATGCCCCAAATTCCATTTATGTCCAAGGTTTGTTCCTGCTTTGGCCTTGTGTTTGTAAAGATTGTGGCACCAGGTAGGAGAATGCCATTCCAGGCTGCCTTCCGTTCAGTAAACGAGCAAATTCCTGGGGCTCTCGCTTTACGAACAGAATCATATCATTAGGATGTACACAAAGTAAAATTTCAAGTTTGATAATTTACCATGAACAAAAGCAGGAAAATGATATTTCGATAGATAAGTTTATGAATAACTACTCCGAGATTCTTTCTCAGTATGTTTTCTGCGTGAGTGATAATTGCAGGTTGCGCAATGCGTGTATTCCTCTCTGGATGCCATAACCCTCAGCTTGATCTGCAGAAAAAGACAACAGATATATGAATGGGCCGCTTGATTTACCGACATAATACAAACACAACAGACAAATATATTTCATTCTCTCTAGATGAATAATTGTAGTTTATTACTCCAGATGTTTCATATTGTCAGTATTATCACTGTCCTTATCAGCAAGAGTATGATAAGAAGCTGCGAGGGCCAGATGTTAGTATAAATATTTCCAAGTGGATTATTAAGGGGTCTTAACCTTCATAATATAATGTTCCATCCATTTCTGTCATTTATTGCCTTTTGAGTAATCAGTCTGGTCATTACTTCGTATTTCCTTCAGCTAAAGTAACAATATTGATGAGTATGGAGACCTGGATAGCAGCCCACACCTTCTATGGATGGGATGGGTAGCACTTCAGAAACTATAACGGAAATCAATGTCTGGTTTTATTCAACGTGGGCTGATAAAGGAAGGGGAGGCCTTACTTCTCCGAATGCAAACCCCGGCCACCACTGGACCTTCCAAGCCTACATGACGGCTCGGATGACTCAGAACAGGGAGCTCCTTTCACTTCTTGAAATGACAGAACATTCTACTGATCATCTGAAAGAAATTAGGTTTATTTGCAGAGAGTACATGCCATCGATTCTCCATGCTTCCGCTTGTTCCGGCTATGGCCTTGTGTAGGTGGTGAAGCGTATCCCATATAACCTTGACTGATCCGCGGTTGTAAAACAAAGGTGTGTCACATAAAACTTAACAATCCTTTATTGCAACACATTAAAATCTGGGGTTGGTTACAGGCACCGATTTCACACGTGTTCATACAGAAATTGCAATTCATTGTGTCAACTCTTTTGTTTCACTGCTTCAAAAGACGTGTCGAGAGCACTTGTTTCGTAGGGTCCTCATCCATGCAGATCTCTAGGCGATGTGAGTATCGTTCATCACATCTATCTGCCAGGACTTACAAACAACAAGCAGATGTGCCATATTTATCTGGAGACACCCTTAAATTTTGTTCCTTGCATTTTTAGCCAAAATTACTGGGGTTGCCTTTTCTTCTACACTTGCTCTTTGGCAAGAAGCTCCAATGATCGTTTCATTCGTAAATCTGCACTGAAAACGTTGAGGGATCGTTAGCCTATAGATGGTTGACGCTTGTGCATGTGGTATCTTCTGAGGACTGACAAATGTAAAAAATCATCCCGTTTTCCCATCTTTGATACTGCTTCCAAAAAATGCCTCTGTATTTGCCCCTTTTTTTGTTGTGGAAATTTGCATCGCGTTTCTCCATCTGGAAATATGTGTCATATGGTTAGTTTTGGAATCAACCCAGATATTAATTGCGAACGTGTGTGTGCGATGCGTGTAAGTGTAATTCATGACGTTGAGATGAAATTCTGTATAATTTTAAGATCGGCCTTTGTGTTTGTCCACAGATTGTCTGAATAAATCATGAAGTCGATGAGGCGATTTTTCTTCAAGAGAGGGTCTGTTTTTTGTAACATAAAACACACAATATTAGTGATTTCACCTCATTTGTTGGGTTTTCGTAATTTAAAAACATGACAAATGAGTATTTTCATCCACTGTGGCTAGCTGACATATACCATTCTGCTGACCATTTACGATGTAAATTCGCACACATGCCTTGTGTACATGAATATGATTCAAAAACCCTACTTTTTCACTAATGCCAAAACTTCCAAATGCAAAAGGCCTCATTTGTTCCTTCTTAATATTCTCGATTAATGAGCACAGTGTGTTCCCTTTGTTATATGAATTGGTTCTGTTCTGGGTGTAAAGATCACAAGGCAGGTCCTTAGCTGCTCAGCTAATGTCGTTATTTTGTCCGAGGTAAGCGGCAACGCTACGTTTGATCCTGTAGTAGGCAGTGCCACGTGTCCCAGAGTGCCTGTCAGCGAATTTAACTTTAGGGGTGAGTAGTCTTCAATCAGGCCCATGAGGGTTTGATTTGAACCATGCAAGAGCCATTTTTCTTGTCACAGAAGATTTCTCACTAATTCTAGGGACTGCCAAGCCCACGATGTTCTGGAAGTAATGAAGAAAGAAAATGATTCACTCACTCAAGGTTGTCAAGAAAATGAAACACTAATGCTGAAAAACAAATGCCGAGGCTGAGAGGTTACTGTGGGGTATCAGGCAACTGTGTTGTCTGGAATCAGCTCTACAGGCGCACAAAACAAGGCTGTTGAAAATACGCCTAGTATCCACATTATAAGACTGGTGACAAGTGTTGATTCACAAGATTTATGGCATTTTTTTGCTGCTTCCATGTCACCCAGGACTCGAGCATCTGATAAACCAAGAGAGCGTAAATACGTTTGACGTGGTGGCGTGTGAATTGCGAGCCAGTGCCGGGACTTGAGCAAGTGAAGAAACACGACTTGAGACGATGCTAAGGGCAGCGGGGGCCGCTCCGACAGCTGAGGAGCCCGGCCGAGGCTGGAGTTGCCGCGGGGAGCAGAATAAAAGCAAATGGGAGGCAAATGTCGGGCGATTGCTGCCAAGTTATGATTGCAAACATAGAGTCCTTGAGAGCTTCATTCCCGGGTAACACGCATTTAAAAAGGCTGAAGTCAGCAAATGGCTTGAGGTAAAAAGGGTTTGGCTCAGTTACTCTCTAATGTCAAGTGGGTGCGTCCCAATCCCACCCACTCACCGGCAAGAGGGGTTATGGGAACATACGCTCTCGTGTTAGACAAATGGGATCTATCCAAATGCTTTTTTAGTTTACATTTTCTATGAGAATAGCCCAGCCCAAGACTTACGGCCTTGTTTCTCTGTTATGTCGAGGTAAGCTCTCTCTGACCATCTCTGCATCTTTCTCTCGAACGTTTCTTGCTTTCGAAAAGATAGCAGCCGTAATATTAAAATATGTCTATGACAGTCCGGGACGTGCTCCGTTTGCCGCTCCGTTTCGACGTCTTACCAGTTAGCAACTGCCAGGGGACAGGAATGAGTAGTGATGAGTTGTGACTGCTGGATGTAGCGCGCATTGTTCCAGAGCATCCATACAGTAATCCCACTGCTGCTACTTGCTCACAAAATTGAGGAAGCACTAAGTCCAAATTTAGGATCACATATTTTGATTTGCATGTCTCTCTGTTTATATATAACTAACCACCTCAGCCTCAGTACTGATGTGAAGTGTTCTTCAAAATAAATTGATCAGCAAATTGTTCCTTTCTGCCTCAAAAGACGATGTTCATCGGAGTATATACTGTAGGGTGGGACACTGACTCCAGCTGAAAGCTGATTGGTCCCTGGAGTGCCCCCTCCCCTGTCACTCACCGATTCAAAACATGTCATTAGCTAATGATAAGCTGGGCCCCTCTGTATGAATTATGGCCCCTTTTCTGTTTCCCACCTTAAAAAAATCATAAAATCGCTCCGGTCGTAAGCCAACTGACACACATCAGCATATGTAATAATTAGCTGATGTGCCCCAGAAGGCTGAGCATTAGCTGACTGTCACGGTGTAAATATACAGTGTAGCGGTAGGGCTAAGAGATGGTACAGAATATAAACATTCATAAGCGATAAGCCTGAGGCAGTTGGGGGGGTGGGGGTGGTCAGCATGGTTGCCTCACACCTGGGGCACTGTGCCTGAAGTTGCATGTTGTCCCCATGCTGTTGTGGGTTTTCATAAAATCACTCACTCTGTCCCCCACACAATTTTTGTTGGTATTTCCTCTGCAATGATACCTCCTTAGCCCTCAGGATCACCAGGCCTGGATTCCTGGCTTTCTGCTATCTCGACATTAAGCAGATGCTAAATCACTTGTTGCTCTCACCAGTCCGAAATGCAGATGCATCCTAAATGCGAATGGCTTCGGAGATGACCCCACGGTCTTCTACACCGCCCTTGGACCCTTCACCGTGTTTTCAATTTCTTCAAGAAATGCGGCCTGAGATGTTGCAATCACCTGAATGTATTCTTGCAGGGCGCTTTCTCCACTTGGACACGGAATGGTTTTGATTAGCAAACCTTGGGATCCATCTTGTTTTTTTTTTTGTGAAAATAGCCACAAAGATAAATTTGGTACAGTGTTATCAGCTTGTTCTTTCTGGATGGAGAGGATGCCCATTAACTTTGCTCCATTTTTGATTGAAGCCACATGAACCTGAGACACACTTCTGAGGCTGGAGCTGTCAAAACAGCAGTGTAGATATATAGATATGTCTGGATTTCTGTCTGTGACCATTTAGGCTGATTTGTCATCCTTTGAAAATATCTTTTATGACTAAACTACTTTTAGGATATTTTGGCTCCTAGGTGATCATGTTCCCACGTGTGCCTTTTGAACGCAGAAATAAAACAGCATGGTTTTTAAGGAGAGAAGTCCTCAAGACAATATCTAGATCAGGGTTCCCCTATTCCAGTCTGTAGGGGCCAGAATCCAGTTTGCAGATCTCCCTGTTCAAACACACCTACTAATCTTGGTAATTAGCTGATTAAGATGTGTCTGAGCAGGGAAATCATCAGCTGTGTTGGCCCTCCAGGACTGGAACTGGGGAACCCTGATATAGAGGTTGGGGCTGTGACCTCAGAAGATGGTCTATTCTGATTGTCCAGAATCTTTGCATTCCTGCTGAAGCTTCACTGCTGATTTCCTCCCCAAAACACCCAGACCTGTACTGCATGCTGATCTCATAGAATCGCTGGTTAAGTTCAGGGATCTCAGGGTCTAAGGTCACCCATTGTAATCCCACAAAGCTGTTTCTGAGAGCTGCATCTCTACTCCTTTATGTTTGAGATTGCACGTTGCACATAGTGATGTGAGTAGTATCTGAGTAGGGTACCATGGCGCGATAAACCTCTGTGCCTGAGATCAGGGGGTTGTGGTTCAAGCCCAATCACAGCACATTTGTGGGTTCTTCAGCAAGGCCTTTAACTCCCAGCTCCCTGGCTGCTGTGACAGGTGGCTGCCCTTTGCAGATTGGGGGCCTAAAGAGAGCTTCCCCGTGGGGATTATTATAATAATTAGTAGGAGTAGCAAGGGTGGCACAGTGGTGCAGTGCTTAACACTGTAACCTCCCACCTCTGGGACCTGGGTTCAAGTCTCTTCCAGGGTTCTGTGTTTTCTCCAGATACTGTGGTTTGTCCCCCCCACAGTCCAAAAACATGCTGAGGCTAATTGGAGTTACCAAATTGCCCATAGGTGTGTATGCATTAGTGTGCCCTGCAATGGGTGTCCAGGCAGGACGGACCCCAGAGCCCCTGCAACCCTGAATAGGAAAGAAGTTGTTTCAGAAAATGGATGGATTAGTGTCACCTATGGATGGTTGCAGTATTGTACACCAGGGGTCATTTTGGAAATTTGTCTGTTTGGTTTATGTGTGTGTATATATATATATATATATATATATGTGTGTGTGTGTGTGTGTGTAAGTGTCGGTGCCATGGGGGTGGGGGTTATGACCACAAGGGGCTGCTTAAAAATAATCACCCAAAGACCCTAAACTTTTACTGTTGCAATTAAAATTGCTAAGAAAATAAAATCGGTGTGCTATGTGTGTGTGTGGTCAATATACTCTCAGGGTCTATGGCACTCCCAAACAAACAGAGCGGGATTAAGCCATCGCATACCATAGCACAAGTGATGCAAAGGATCATACTGTTCCTGAAATCATTAACATCCCAAATTACGATAAGCTCATTTCACAGGTTCGCATTTTATAGTCGCTCTGGGCCGTTTCACTGCCAGAGCGCCTATCCTGCACCGCGTATATTCAGCCAGTGTATTCTGGAACTTTCTGTATGTTTCTACCTCGTCTAACGGCCCCGTTGATAAGGTTACTAAAGCTTACGGTCCAGCAGCACGCACAGTGTAAGCAGTGAAGCTCTTGCAGCATAGCAGTTTGTGCCCAGAACCTCACAAGAACTTATTCAGTTGTAGCTCCTTTCTTTGTACGATGGCCTGGCGTGATGACCGGACGAGGAAAGGCAAGTGCACTCTACACCTGTCTGTGACATACATGCTTATCCCAGCACCACCCACGCTGTGGCTAAAAACAGCTCCAGTGTTAAAAGCCCCTGACTGATGCCCAGGGATTTATTCATGGAAAATGTCGGATGGCATTACTTCTCTGACATTCTACTCTACGAAGGAGTGAAAGTGATCTCGATTAGGGATTTTCGGGCGTTGTGGTAAATTGAGGTTGCCATGGTGACAATGTTCGGTTAGCATCAGAACAGAAGCAGCACAGCAGAGTTTCCTGAGGTTTCGCTGAGGAATATTGTGGCTGTAATGGAAATGACATGCTGAGCCTTTCGAAGTTCTGGAATTTGCTGGCCTGTGACCATTGTCCCCTTCCTTACCTTGTGTTCTAACTTCATTGGGGACCTACAGGGTTTAAAAAGTAGAAAGCACATTTTTTTTTTTCATTGCAGATATGTAGACAGCTTTCCGCAGGACCTGTCTCTTAGAGATGAACTGCTGGCAGGTTGTAGCAGGCTCTCGGTGCCATTGGTCATGCATGAGAATATTTTAGCGATCTGCTTGTTTTGCAGGCAGGGCGTGAAATTCCACACTGATTATTTTGCAACACGCTCTTCATACCAAGAAGCAGTTTCGTTGATATGTAGCATAAAAAAGACTTTTTCATGTTACATATCAGCCAAGCCCAGGACATACTACCTGTTAACAAAGCTGATATTCACTTTCTTGCAATTGTAGAATTCTGGAGGGCTTCGTATGAATCATGGATTAACTTCGGGAGGTTTTTGTTTCCATGGGAATCCAACAGCTGGGTATCAAATAAGAATACTGGTTTTGTGCCAGTAAAATAAAGACATGTACATTTTCGTTCCAGTGATTTATGCATTACTCAGCAGGGCTCTGCTGGTGTGACTGATGGGGAACGGCGAATCAGAGCCAAACAGGTGTTATTTCTCACACTCAACTACCAATTGACTCCTGTGATCCCCCTCGAATACCTATGAAGTCACCTGACATCATCAGCTGACGCAGTTTAATGCAATTGGCACTGTTTGATTCCCTCAATTTCTCAATTGTTTATCCAGGAAGAACACCACAGAATCATTCCAGGCAGGAATGTCATTTTGTCCTATTTTCCAAGCACTGTGTCCAAACGTATAACTTTGGAGTAAAAAAAAAAGACATTCCATGTCAGAATTTTAGGAGCCAGAGCCTGCTTTTCAGTTTCTTAGCCGACCCATATACCCAAAGTGACTTAAAATTCATCCCCCTCCATAGAACTTGACATTCTACTGGAGGAGTTCAGAGGTAATACCGTAATGTGCCAGAGTACAGTGTTATGCATTTCTTCCTCAAGAAGTTAACAAAAATATCACTTGCGTTGTTTTTCCAAACAATACGGTAATGCATGCAACATGTCGCAAGATATGGATTCTCACAGCAAATGTCCTTCCTTCAGCATGAATTGCACCAATGGATGTGGACCAGAGCTGCTAGCTACGTGATCATATGAGCTCTAATTAGTAAGATGTTTACCCAAGAAGAGCGGTTATGTAATGATATAGTTCCAACGGGCAGCTTTTTCTAGTCAGCGCCTCAGCCTGATGTTTTGGTTCCAGGTCCAATTTCATGTTATGGCACAAGCTTCCTCAACCCTGACATGTCACATGGACAGGCCACCGCTGTTAGTGGGAAAATTGGTCACTCTTCTACAGTTGCAGCAGGATCCCAGAGCCTCTAATTACAGTATATTTAATACAAGGTTACCTAGCCTGCTTGGGTCATTCTCCTCCTTGGATAAGAGCTGTCATTATGCTCAGCAATGCGCAGCTGTTGAGATACTTCATTATTCCCCCATTATGTATGTTTGTTTCACATCAGTGACACCCAAACTGTGGGTGGCAGGATTGGGCTTGAGATGATAACATTTCTTCCCCCTTTTGGTGTGGTATCCATTAGGCAGGCGCATTTTGAGCTCCAGCCTGTAGAGCGCAGTCTGCCAGGGGTACTGTCAGTCTGAGTCCTGGGTCACAGCCACCGTAATGATGGGCTAGCTACAACCAAAAGTGAAACACCCAATTTAACCATCAGCTCGTTCCCAGAGAAACAGGGAAGCAGGTGATGTGTGAATGACAGGAAACAGTGCTGCAAAAGAATGAGGAGCAGAGGTAAGATCGTGCATTTAGATGTGACTTTATGTTTTACTCCAGTCCTGCCACCATCTCAATG